GAGTCATGTTTACATGTAAGTACTATTGAATACTACGTGCAGATGTAAAATTTTGCCATTGTCACACTGAATTTCTGTGTCTGTAAAACTGTAATCAGTAGCCTAAGTTGTAAATACCATGTTGTCATTCCTAGTGTTGTTATTAGGACAACACTAGGAAATAAAGGATGTCTGCTGTACTCTCTCTTTTCTCATGTGTGCTGTTACCACTGCTATATCTGTCATACCTTCATTCCTATTTTACTCACATATTTAGCATCCTCACAGGCATATATATATTTATTGTCAATGATCAAAATGTAATTTTTTAAAATATCTATAAATGACACAGTTTATTCCAGTTATTATTTCCTCATCCTCTTCCTCTTCTTCTCTATGACTGGCATTGGAGGCCCAATTCTACCGTTCATAGTCTATGAACAAACAATAGCATAGTCAATACTACCATACTATGTATTTTCAAACTCACTAGCTCCAATCTCAATGACCTGATATGCAACACTTTGAGTTGTCTCTTTTGTTGCAATTCCTCTATTTCTACATCTATGTCCTTTACCTCTCTCTCCTCCTTTTGTATCTCCTCACACTTCTATAGCCAAAGGAAATTACACACACCAACATATTACACTTACAGCCTTGGCTTGTACATCACTCATCTTGTCATCACTTTTACTTTTATCCCCCTCTTCCAAAGACATTGTCTTCCTTTCCTCTCTTTCCTTTACATTATATCTTCACTCCCCTTATATACACATTCACTCTCACCACACCCATCAATCTTATAACTATTCATTGTAATTTAATTAAAGCTATTCATTCTAACTTATTCAAATTTTAGACCTCAATCACTATCTCCCACTAGCTGAAATCCTTCTTAAAATTCTCATTTTATGTACATTTATCCTCCTCCACTCATATTTCTTTACCATCCACAACTAAATGTATATACCTACTTTTATCTTTCCTCCCATGTCTCCATACTTCCTCCCTTTTCTTATTAATGTTATCAAGTAAATTGATCCTTCAATTGTTATGTATATGTACATTGTCGGATACTCATAATGCTCTCTCTCCCTCCCTCCCTCCCTCCCCCATTCTCTCTGTCGTACTTTATCTCACGCTTGACCTCCATCAATAAATGTACATAAATTTATAGTAATTTAATATTTATTCTTTCTTTATTTCCTGTACATTATGCATGTCTATAACACTAATTTACAAGCAATACA